GCAGCCCGAGCGCCGGCGAGCGGATGGTGCCGCCATCGGCGGGGCTCGTCCCGCGGGGATGCGGCCCCGCTGCCTCCCGCCGCCGCCGCCGCTGCTGCTGCTGCTGCTGCTGCTGCCGCCCGCCGAGCCCCTCTGCCCGGAGCCGTGCGACTGCCAGCAGCAGCAGCACCTCCTGTGCACGAACCGGGGCCTGCGCGCCGTGCCCAGGACCGCCGAGCCGCACCATGTCCTCACCTACAGCCTCGGCGGCAACTTCATCGCCAACATCTCCGCCGTGGACTTCCAGCGCCTCGCGGCGCTCCAGCGCCTGGACCTGCAGTACAACCGCATCCGCTCGCTGCACCCCCGGGCCTTCGAGCGCCTGGGCCGCCTGGAGGAGCTCTACCTGGGCAACAACCTGCTGCCGGCGCTGGCGCCCGGCACGCTCAGCGCCCTGGCCAAGCTGCGCATCCTCTACGTGAACGCCAACGAGATCGGCCGCCTCAGCGCGGCCTCCTTCTCCGGCCTCGGCAGCCTGGTCAAGCTGCGCCTGGACGGCAATGAGTTGGGCTCGCTGGGGGACTCCACTTTCTCAGGGCTGCCGAATTTACTGTACCTGCACCTCGAGTCCAACCGCATCCGCTGGCTGAGCCGTGGTGCCTTCACCGGCCTGGCCAAACTGCGCTTCCTCGACCTCTCCGGGAACCAGCAGAGCTCCCTTCGGCACCCCGATATCTTCGGGCCGCTGCGCTCCCTCCACACGCTGCTGCTGGCCAGCAACAGCCTGCAGCAGCTGGCGGGAGGGCTCTTCCAGCATCTGCCCGGCCTCGCGAAGCTCTCGCTCAGTGACAACCGGCTGTCCCACCTGGCTCCCGACGCCTTCGTGGGGCTGGGCTTGCTGAAGGAGCTGCGCCTGGAGGGGAACGTGCTGAGCCACCTGCCCGCYGCGCTGCTGGAGCCGCTGAGCAGCCTGGAGGCGCTGGATCTGAGCCGCAACGCGCTGACCGCGCTKCACCCTGCCGCCTTCGGGCAGCTCGCCCGCTTGCGGGAGCTCAGCCTGCGGGACAACGCGCTGGCCACGCTGCCCGGCGAGCTCTTCGCCTCCAGCCCGGCCCTCTACCGCCTGGAGCTGGAGGGCAACGCGTGGAGCTGCGACTGCCGCCTGCGGGGGCTCAAGCACTGGCTGGGCGCCTGGCACTCCCAGGGCCGCCTGCTCACCGTCTTCGTGCAGTGCCACCTGCCGCCCGCCCTCACCGGCAAGTACCTCGACTACCTGCAAGACGCCCAGCTGCTGCCGCCGCCCGACGGCAGCGCCTGCCACCACAGCGCCTCCCTCTTCCCTGCGTCCCCTCTCCCGCCGGCGCAGGAGCAGCTCTGGCTGCCGCCGGCCGCCGAGGGCCTTGACGGCAACAGCAGCGGTGGCCTCGTGCCGCCACGTGGGCCGCCGGGGGCTCCGCCATCCGCCTCCACCRCGCGCTTGCTGGGGGCGCCTGATGGGGTTGTGGCACCGGTGGGCGCCAGCCCCACGCCGCCGATAGCYGCCGGCGCGGCGGGCTCGCAGGCAGCGCCGCCCGGCGTGACGTGGCCCCGGCGCGCCGGCAAGGCCCGCGCGGCCGGGCTGCTGCCGCTCGTGTCCGACCCGTGTGACTTCAACAAGCGCTTCCTGTGCAACCTCTCGGTGGAGGCGGTGAGCTCCAGCTCGGTGACSGTGCGCTGGGCTGTGCGGCCGCACCGCAGCCCCCGCCTGCTGGGCCCGGCGCGCTTCCGCCTCCTCTTCGACCGCTTCGGCGCCGCCGTCAAGTTCCAGCGCTTCGTCTACCTGCCGGAGCGCAGCGAGCCGGCAGCCACGCTGCGCGAGCTGCGCCCGGACACGCCGTACCTCGTGTGCGTCGAGGGCGTCCTGGGCGGGCGCGTGTGCCCCGTGGCGCCGCGGGACCACTGCGCGGGGCTCGTCACCCTGCCCGAGGGCGGCACGGCGGCGGCAGCGGCAGGCGGGCCCCGCGGGCCGGACCAGCAGCTCCTCACGCTGGTGCTGCTGGCGGTGAACGCGCTGCTGCTCCTCGTGGCCGTGGCGGCGTGGGCCTCCCGCCTGGTGCGCAAGAAGGTGCTGGGGCGGCGGAAAGCGGCGCCCGTGCACGTGCGGCAGCTCTACTCCACGCGCCGGCCGCTGCGCTCCATGGGCACCGGCGTCTCCGCCGACTTCTCAGGCTTCCAGTCGCAGCGGCCGCCCCGCGGCGCCGTGTGCGCCCTCAGCGAGGCCGACCTCATCGAGTTCCCCTGCGAGCGCTTCGTGGACAGCGGCGGYGGCGCCCGCCACGGCGACGAGCACCTGCTGCAGCGCTTCGCCGACTGAGATGGGGATGGCTCGCATCCACCTTGGTCAATAGGCATCGCCTCTTCCTYGTCAGATCCGTGCTCTTCCAATAGTGCCACAGCTGAACCCGCAAGGCTGCCGGCAGGCGGGACATGCTCCTGTAACGCGGGACAGTCCCTGTGATGTGCCTTTTAACTCAGACTCTGTGCCAGGCAATCTAATGTGCGTGAGTGGGCTTTCGTACTTTTCTTTCCTTTTGTAAACAGGGAACAATAATGCAGCTAGTTAGTTCGACAGGAAAATATTGCTGACACCACTAGGAGAAAACCTAACAGAGTACAGAGTTTCGTAATATGTTTACAAATGAGCTTTTTTTTTTTTTTTTTGAATAAATACTGCCTGGTACTTGTACGCTAGTTGTGCCTTAGTTCTCTGGGTCTGTGATGGTCACTGACTCTCAAGTAATCCATCTTAGCTTCTGCACGAGTGGATGCAAAGGTAAGCTGGGGACGAATAGACCATATAGGTGCCTTTCTTCAGAGAAAAATAGTGGTAGGTGAGGATATTTCAGAAATGTGAAACGCTCTTACCCTAACAGGCAATACTCTTGTAGCCTTAGTCTGCTAAAATTAGAAGCTTTTTGTATCTCAGTGTGAAATAAATCATTTCTGTATGTTAATGTAGGTGCCATGTTTTGTGTAGTTGAGTGAGTAATGCTAAAGTTAAGCTCTTAGAAAGTAGTTTATGGTATCTGAGATTCTTTTTTTATTTTTTTCTTTAGAGAAATGCTAATCATTTTATGATCAGTTGCTCTCTACTTTCTGGGATTTTTACTTTCCTAAATATTTACAGAATGTGTTCTGTTTCTATTAAGTATGATGGTTTAGTTTACATTAATAATTCTCTCTGTGTGGTCTAGAAGCGAGCTAATTAAAAAGGTCCAAACTGTGGTTACATCTGAAATGCAAAAGTTTCAGATGGTGCTTGGTAGCTCATGGAGATCCTGAATGCTACATGGGTTCCCTTGAATTTAGTGTTCAACTCCAGATCAACTGCTGTGGAAGCGAGCAGCTCGGAGGAGAGGTTAGTGGGCTCTGGAGATGTTCATCTCAGCACCTTGAGTTCATTGCTGACCCCAAGTGTTCGTGACTACAAGTAATCTCTATACCATAATTGCAAGTAGGCAATTTTGGGGCGTTTTCCTTTCAAATGAGCAAGTGTTTGCAARAGACACAACAGTAACTGGTACCTTCATTTGCAGGTCAGTGGGTGAATGGAAATAAAAAGACTTTGAGTTCTTAGGGGGTTTTGTTCAATCTTAATATTCAAATAGTGKGAGAAGAGAGACTGGGGGAATAGTTGCCTTAAACTTTGCCTTTTAGAGGGAGATAAGGTTTGAAGGTCACATTTTGATTCTATACAAGTCATTAGGAAAAAAATCCTTCAGTATTCCATGCAGCAGAAGGCAGCTGTCTTCATGAATATCAGGGGCCAGGCCCAAGTGTCAGTGTATATGTTAAGAGCCATAACTTTTATAGATGCAATATTTTAGGGAACTTGACTGAAGGAAGACAGAATCAGGCCCTGAAGAGTCTTCAGTTTCTATTCCTTTTTGGACACCGAGGTGCTTTCAGCCATTTATGACTATCTATGGAATACACCACTGTTTATTGTTAGAAATGTACTGGGGATTACTGCGTAAAGATGTGTATCACACTAATGTTAGCTCTATCACTGGATATTCTTCCAATGGGAGATGCATAGATGCTTATAATCAAATATGTCAATAAATCCACTTGCTGAAATAAAGTTGGTGTCCTAACATTGATTTAAGAGTGATACAATATGACATACATAGACCAGCTGTAACTTTTTGGTGTTAGTAGAGTGCAGTTTTTTAGGGCTGCAGCTTTCTGGAGTTCYCCTTAGTTCATCATGTCTTGCGTTTTCAGTGTGTTTTTTCCTACATATTATGTTTTCTCTTTCGGTTCTATTATGTTGGACTAAAGCAAGATAGCAGGAGGACTCTATGCACAAGGAGAACCTTTCAGTGTATCAGTAATGCACACGCTAAAATAATTTAAATGGTCAGAAATGCTGAGACAGGAAGATCAGTGCAAAGACAAACTAATAAAGTGCTGTTACATTCTTGAACCAATGATTCTTTCTAAGCTAAATAATAGACAATAATTTGTTTAGGATAATATCAACCTTCTATACTAATAGGAAGTTACGGTGCTGAGGGTGTTTCCGTATTATCAGGCTAATGATAAAAACATGTTGTCATATGGAACATATACATGTTTTTCTAATAAATGTTTCACTGCTGCTTTTTGAGTTTATACAAACCTCTCAAGAATTGATTGTGAAATGGCTCTTTGTTCCAACTTTGGAGAAGTAACAAAAAGGATGGATAACACAATGAAGCTGATGGCTTCTTGGAGATCATATATACTATGGGAATGCTTAGGCTTTGGATATTGTTGATTTTACAGCTTCTTCTTCTTCTTACTACTATTATTATGGGGTCCTGCACTAGCAAATGAGTGAGGAAAGAGAAATGCCAGTGATATTCAGTGACTGAATATGTAATTACCTGGTTATACTTTTACCAGTAGGAAAGTATGTATATATTTTTGCTCCTTTCTAAATGAAGATCCTTTCAAAAGGACGAGCCCTCATGAAAGAGCCCTTTCTAATTGAATGAATCTGTCATCAAATTRTGCATGAAACACTTCTCTATCTTATTTCCTAATTTGCCTGTCTTATTTCCACCTAGAATCCATGCAGCTTGCAGAAAAGCAAACTGAGTGCTGGTAACTAATTCCTAGGCATGCCATTTAGTCCAAAGATTGAAAGTCACCTGCATCTAGGTCTGTCAGAAGGATCTGCAGAAGAGAAGGACGGTGGGTTTCCCCGTTGGCRGCACTGCAACCAGGCCAGCAACCTCTGGCCTCCTCCCACCTGTAATCCCTGACCGTCCTCTGCAGTCCCCTGGCACAGTAGTGTGGGAAGCTCTGAGGTAAACTGGGAAATTTTTCCTTCTGGAAAGTAACCTTTTCTTGTACCTTTCCCGTATTTTTTCAGGCATCTGACCCTCTCTGATCTTGTTCAGCTTACACAAGTGTTGGTGGTGGCAAAATGCAGATGTGCAAYGCAGAGCAGTCAGAGCAGCAGGAAAGAGTGGCCAAAGATGGGAAGCTGCTTAGAGCAGTCTTGACACCAAATGGATCCACAACCTTAGAAAAGTTGGACAATTTCCACTAGAGTTAAATGCTGTGTTCAGGAACCCATGTGCTTAACCAGTGGGAAACTGGAAATACTTAAAACTCCTTGATGAGAATCTGAAAACAATCACTGAAKTTGAGAGAAGAACATGGCTAGAAAGGAATGTTCTAAAGAGGAGAAGGATTTAATAGTGCTGGTGATGGACTTCAGGTGCATGATGAGCTCTTGTTATCCAAAAGAAATCTGCTTGACTATCAGGATCTGGGTTAACAAAGTTAGAGATACACAAATTCAAATTTCTTCATGCAGTGCTGCCTTCAGGTTTCACAATGTGCTGTGAAAGCCACATTTTAAAGTATTGCCATAGTTTAAGCCATGGTTTATGACAAAGATCTCATAAATGCTATACATATGTGCATATATATATAAAAAACTATACAAATATATAAACATATATACACCTAAAGAAATATATTTGCATATATGTATACATATATACATACATGTACATATGTATATGTATATATACAAATATATATGCATGTATCATATGCATATCATATATGTGCCTTCTATTTCTTCTTCTTCCCTGACAGAGAATTGGAAATCAAGGATTTGGAAATAAAAAGAAATCCACTGCAGTTTCATTGCTATACTGATTTAAGCAGCAAACATATGTTCAGATTGCTATGTATGAGTTCACAAAAATATTGTTTGTATTCAATGGCAGTGTGTGTATTTGCAGCACGCTCCTGCAGTGAGCAAGAGAAGCAGTACTTCATTTCCAAATCAGATGGCCACCGAGGGCATACATGTGTTTCGTGAGGTCTGCAAGTCAAGCTTGCCTTAAAAAGTGGTTTTCAAGACCAAAACAGCAAAATGATATATATCCACTGATATATGTGATTTTTCACTTCAGTAGCTCTTTTGATAGGAGTTACTACATAAATGTTGATCAGATGCCTGTTAAGTAGAATGGAGAATAAATGTAAGGAAACTTTATGTTTGTTGGGTATTAACTGTTCTTTTTTTTTTTTTTTTCTCTTCTAAATATAACATAGTTTTGGCAGTTTGTCTGACTGTTGTATTTTTCTTCATAAAAAGTTGACTTTTCTCAGGAGTATGCTTTATTTCCCATAGAAAATAAATTCCCTTGGAAAAACAGTCAATTGTATTGGAACACAAATATTTGTCTTAATATCATTCCAGATGAATTTATTTATATAAATGCTCCATTATATGTTTTATTGATGTAAATCTATATCTTGTTTGTTTTTACAAACAAGGCCATAAAAATTAAAATGAGTAATGCACTACAAATAAGTAGCTTGAATAAAACTGTCTAAATATGTATTTGAGATATTTATTATCAAAGAAGAATCCAACACTTTAAAAGAGAATCTGTGATCATTTGTAGTATGAKGTGTATCTCATTTGCTCTGGAATGTTTTAAGGTGAATTTATTTGTAAAGTGATAACCTATRTGTAACAATTTTATATCACAGAAATAAGCTATCAGTCCAGAGGTGTCCCAGCAGATACATTTTAAAATCATTACAAAGAAATTCGGGTACTCTTACAAGCATCAGTGTGTATCAATATATTGTCTGCTTTTTCATTATAAAGCTCTTTCAAAGTTGCTGTTAGGCTCTGCAGTCYTTTAGCTAATACAATATATGGTATCCCTTGGGTTCAGATAAATAGGTGTAATGCTTACCTTACCAAGGCTGGTTTTGTCTTCAGACATGTTCTCAAATTATGCTGATTTTCTTTCGCCTTTGCTGCTCTCCAGAGATCCATCCGTGTGGATCAAGACA